CATTTAATCCTTTTTAGATCAAGAAACCGCTCCAAAACCGGTTTTTCATGCTCCGGTTCGAAACCGGAGCGTTTGAAATCATAATCAAAAATGGTTCGCTCCGGATCGGAACGATTTTATAATTGAAATTTTAATCCGTTCTCTCGGAGCGGATACACTTCAATGGTTCGGTTCGGTTTACAACCCTGGTCGAAACGTTGTGTGTAATAAACTAATTAGATAACCAGCCAGTTGGGTCGACTGTAAGTTTCCCGTCTTAATTCTTACTGTCTTGCTTCCGAGACTTTTGCGGAAATTTCGTCTCCTCTAATCGGATCTTGCCATTAATTCTTACATATGCAATGTACATTAAATTGCAAATTGAAAAAACGGCAGGATCAGGATGAACATCCCGCCGATTCAGCAACCGGGCGCCATGGGCGTGGGACAGATGGGCCAGCCGGTGAACCCTCAATTGCCCCAGAACCAGCAGCAGGCGCAGCAGACGCAGCAGCAGCAGGTGCAGCAGCAGCAGCAGCAGCAACAGCAGCAGCAGCAACAGCAGCAGCAGCAGCAGCAGCAGACGCAGGACAAGCTCGACAATATCTCCAAGGTGAAGTCTCTGGCCGGTCCGCTGAGAGAGTCGTTGGCCATAGCCCTGAAAACCGCGGCGCAGACGCTGCATCAGAACAGCCTGGTCGACGTGGGCACCATGAAGGGCATAGAGCAGCCGGATCATCGATTCAACAAGAACATGGAGGAGTTCTACTCCATTTGCGATCAGATAGAGTTGCACCTCAAGACCTCGGTCGAGTGCCTGTCCCAGAACTCCAGCTCTGTTCGGTACATGCCCATGTCCGTCATGACCACTCGCACAGACACCGTCAGCACGCCGGAGGGACCGGCGCTTACCTATCCGCAGTTCCTGATGACGGTGCGCGCGCAAGTGGCGTACTCGCACGAGATTCACAACACCCTCATGATGCACGCTCGCGCGATAGCGTCCGGCGAGCAACCTTAATTCCCATGAATTCTGGAGCAGCGTTTCCCAGCGCTCCGGCGGAACGAGAGATGTCACGGGAGGCGCCGACGAAGCGATCGTCATTTCGTGATATAGTAATAAGCAGGGACGTAGTAGACCGAGCACGAGGCTTGAAATCTGGGGGTCAATTCTGTATCTTGTACCGTAGCGAAAAGATACAGAATTGACCCCCCTGAGGACCAGGTAGAAAGAGACCGACGACAGATACCGCGCGCCTTTCTTTAACGAGAAGAAAGTGGGAGGGTGTAAAAGAGAATGGGGAGACAAGCGTGTGATAATTTGTACACACGTTCACACATGATTTTGTTAACATCTTGCACTTGATACGCGCACCAAATAGTGTGTTTGAACTGATCGGTCAATGACTAAATAAACCAATGTACTAGTTATTTATTATTTGTTACTATCTGATATCGCGTATGAAGTGCACGATGTAAGCTAGACCTCTGGGGGAGGGCCGGGGTATGCGATGCATGTTAGCCGCTAAAACCACCATGGTTGCCTACCTCGCGCGCATTTGTAGCCGAGCCCTGGGAACACATCGTACACTACCAGGACTCGGCCGACCACATCTATACCTCATGCGAAGCGAATAAGAGAGAAAAAGTTCCGCTTGGGACGTTGAGTGAACAGCACGTCTCTTCTAACCTAGAGAGAAATTGTTGATCCTCGGGGTTGCATCATCCGATTGCATCATCCCGCGCGAAACCCGATAGTTGGGTCTCTGCATTGTAGTAATAAATTAAAACTTGCTCATACTCTGATCAACTTTATCAAGATCATCAAGACTATCGGCTCGTCGTGGTCGTATCGGCTCAAGTTGGAAGAGCTGCGAGTCATAACTAGAAGGAGCAGAATAAAGAGAGAAAGCGCCGGTATCTATTATCTATTCTTTTCTATCTAAGCTTCATTGCCTACAAGAGGATATACGCTCGGTCTTACTTTGTCTGTGGCAATAAGTTTGTTTTAATATACATGTTATTTTTTAATAAATGATCTGCGAACCGAATTATACAGAGCGTCATTATGTAATTAACATAACTGAGGCCTGTATTCTGAAGCCTCTTTAATATCTTCTCTAATACCTATCTCTTTGATAAAAGAGGATTCAGAGTGCGGGCCTAAGCGTCTGACGTTTCTTGTTTCGAGATCTTGGGTAATGGCTCAAGTGCTGACACGACTTTGCGATTGGTTTGTAACATCTTAAGACGGTACGTAAGATAATCTTTAATATAAGAATGATTTGTAAGTGAACTAATCTAAGAGTCTGATGGTTCTTGTTTCAAGATCGTCTCGAATAAAGTTTCAAAATGCTGACGCGACTCCGCGATTGTGTTGTAACTTCTTCAGATTGTACTCAAGGTAATCTTTATCTAAGACTGAACTATGAATGAACTGGTCTAAGAAATCTTGGAACACTTTACGCGTGTATTTTCGAGCCTTAAAGAGCGTACACGTTTTGCGATCGAAGTGAACAAGATTAACGCTGTATCTAGAAATTCGGGTTTTAGCCGTAACGGCAGAGACTTGATTTTTGAATTCATTAGAAGAAGAAACGTAGGCGCAAATGTTGCTCTCAAAAAGTTGCAGGTTGATTGGCTATTCACGTGACTTTTAATCGATCGACTTCCAGCTTTTCCGTGAGAGCAGAATTTTCGCATACTTTTCTCTGTCGTATGACTCGAAAAATCGAGCCCCGGTGGACTCGATTCTCGAATTCATTCGAAAGCGAAACGTATGCGACAATTCTGCTCTCGCGAACAAGTTGAAAGTCGAATCAACCGATCAACTTGCAGCTTTTCCGTAAGAGCAGGATTTTCGCATACTTTTCCCTGTCGAATGAATCGAAAAGTCGAGCCCCGGTAGACTCGATTCTTGAATTCGAAAGAGAAATGTATGCGACCATTCTGCTCTCGCGGACAAGTTGAAAGTCGAATCAACCGATCAACTTGCAGCTTTTCCGTAAGAGCAGGATTTTTGCATACTTTTCTCTGTCGAATGAATCGAGAATCGAGTCCCTCGGGGCTCGACTTTTCGATTCATTTGACAGAGAAGCGTATGCGAAAATTCTGCTCCCGCAAACAAGTTGAGAGTCGATCGTTTGAAAGCGAATAGCGGATCAACTTGCAACTCTTCCGCAAAGATTTTCGTATACTTTTCTCCGTCGAATGAATCGACAAGTCGAGTCCCGGCGGACTCGAGTCTCGAATTCACTCGAAAGAGAAACGTGTGCGAAAATTCTGCTCTCGCAAACAGGTTGAGAGTCGAAATCGGCCGAAAGCGAATAGCCGGTCAACCTGCGACTTTTCCGCAGCGGCAGAATTTTCGCGTGCTTCTGCCCGTCGAGAGAATCGAAGGATCGAGTCCCCGGTCGAGGAGGCCCTCGATCCATCGGATGCATTTCACGTCAATTCAACGTCTTTTCAACCGTCATCTCCAACTGGGGTCGAGCCACTTATTTTGAGACGCGCGCCGTCATATAAATAGTAGCGACGTTTTCGGTAATACGGGTATACTTTTACGGAAGAAACCGCGAATTGCGATCGACACACCTGCGGTGCGTTCGTTCAACGACGCGGGGATAAATCATTAAGTACGCGAGACAATCCGCGCGGATCTCGGAGTCGATCGCGAGAAAACGTATCGAATGTTCGATCGCGAGCTGGGTGACAGCGTAAACGTCGTTAACGTCCGATCCGGTGAACGAGACATTGTTCTCCCCCCCCCCCCTCTGATTAATCGCCGAAAATTCGGCAAGTAGCGGCGGCACAACGGACTCGGAAGCGCGTTCGTATTCCGTAACGGCGTGTACGGTGCGACCGGCGGGGTGATTCGCGGTCACGTATAGAGCGCGGAAACGCTTGCGGATCGGCCCGGGGGGGGCCGGAAGGGCGTGCAGGAAGCGCTACTGTCAGTTAGGATTGGTGTTTCGTAGCGGCGCGCCAAGCGATCATTCGAAAAGGAAGGACCACCTCTGTTCACCATATTTGGCAAACTTTCCCTAATATGGTAACGTCTACTTCTAAATATGGCAGCCGGGGACGCCCTCTCGGTGCGCGGTGTACCACTGCGCGGGCCGCACTCGCGGCCGGATAGCGGCCGCGCGGAAGCGCGGCCGGGCGTCCCGGCGCGCGGGACGCGCGGCGCGGCGCCCGGGCGATTTTTCGACGTCGGTTTCGGCGCGGATCCCCGCGCGGTCGCGGCCACGCCGCTACGGCGGACTAGTTTTTCGCGGCGTGGTCGCGCGGCGGCGGCGGGGGTGGGGGGCCGCGCAGCGCCGCGCACGCGGAGGCATCGGCGATCGCTGCCGCCGCGCCGCCGCCGCCGCTGCTGCCGCCGTCGCCGCCGCGGTTAGGCACGTAGGTCAAGTTACGATACTCCGCTCCTCACGGCACGGCGCGTTCAGTTCGCGGGGAGCGCTCGTGCGGTGCGCATTGTTGTCCCGTGTTCCCCTAGATGATCGATCACGTGGTGGACACTGCGCCGAGTTCCGCACGCGATTCCGTCGCGAAGACGCGCCGCCGTCGTGGGGAAGGGATTAGATGTGCGCGTCGACGCCGCGATGGACAACCCTAGCGGCGGACGAGACGGTCGGTACGCGAGCCTCGGCTACAGCATGGGGATGATCGGGAGCGATGCTGGCACGGAAATCTACGGCCGACCGTCCACCTCCCAGCTCGCGGCGGCGGCGGCGGCGGCGGCGGCCGCTTCGCAGATAGGCCGCGGCGGCGCCACCATGATGTCGGCCGCGGGCGCCGCGACGCCAGGCGTCGGCCCCCCGGTGCAGCGGGGCATCAAGCGCAGCACGTCCGACGTCTGCTACGGCGACGACGTGGGTGGCAACCCGGCGGCGCGGCAGCAGCAGCAGCAGCAGCAGCAGCAGCAGTCGCTCTCGCAGGGCATGTCGGCCGGCGGCATGCCCGGCGACTGCGTCCCCGACAACCTCGACGAGTCCTTCACGAGCCTGGGCCAGCCGAAGAAGTCGCCCCCGTCCAACGGCAAGAAGACCAAGGGCCGGGTCAAGATTAAGATGGAGTACATCGACAATAAGCTCAGGAGGTACACCACGTTCTCCAAGAGGAAGACCGGCATCATGAAGAAGGTTCGTATCGTGCCGCGCACCGGCTTTCCCGCTCTCTTTCTAGCGCGACGCAACTCGGAGCGCGCTCCGCGAGAGGAAGAGAGGGAGAGAGAGCGCCCGCGTGCGCGTTCAACTCCGCGAAAACAGTACGCGACGTGCGCGAGGTTTCTCGCGCGTTTTCTCCCCGACGACGGGATGCTGCGCGACGGCTCCCCCCGGGCGCCTGCGCGCTCGCTCGCGATTTACGAGTGACAGCGCTCTTCCGCGCGGCTGTTGCGCTAAAAGGGGGCCGGTCGCTCGCGCCTGGCGGCTTGGCTTTCGCTCCGATTAACTTCTTGCGCGTCCCTGCGTTGGGGAATCCCTTCCGATTCCTCGAGCCTCTTCTTTTTGTCAGGGACATGAGAAAGAGAGAGAGAGAGAGAGAGAGAAGAGAGGAGGGCGCTATCTATAATCCGGAGGCGTAACGCGATTTCGAATTTGCCGCGAACTGGCCTTTTTACCGACAAATAATCGGGCAACGGAGTCTGCGATATCGCAAGCGATCACTACCGCGGACACACGTGAATGAACGTTAAAGTACTCTGTCATGAATCTGGTAGTCGGTTTGGCCCGTTACGCGCGCGAGGGAAGGGAAGAGTCGCGCGCGATCCCGCGTGGCCGGAGGGAAATAAAGAGAAAAAGAGACGAGAAACAAGTTCGATTCTCTCTCTCCCTTTCCCCGCCTGGTCCTCTCTGGATTGATTTATCGCGAGTCCCTCGTTAACAACTTGCGCGAGATCGCCGACTTTCCGATCCCCGGTTCCCTCGAGCCTGCGCGCTTCTCCGGCGACTCGTATCTTTTTCGCGAAAACTTTTTCCTCATTTCTTTCGGTCGCTTCGTGTGTCCCCGGGTGTCGGATACTGTTAACTGCACTCTGCGTCGCGTCGCGAAACATTTTCGCCACGGGGTCAAATTCTGTGTCTTACGGTATAGCGAAAATGCTAAAAGCGAACGGCTTTATCTCTTCCCAAGGGGACGATTGGAAAGAGAAAGCTTTTGGCATTTTCACTATAATGCAAAGTCAACGGCACACGATACTATTTCACTGAATTGCTTAGGAGAAACAATAAAACCCGTGTCAGAAAAAAAAATATAAGTATGTAAAGTATATACTTTTTGGGGACACAAACTATCTCCGTCAAATCAGGAAACATCTTATGTTATCCTTCAAAAATGTTAATCCTTCAAAAACGCCTTGTAACCCTAAGGGTAGATCAATAAAATGTATCTACCTTAACATAAGACATGTTATTCAGTGATGATTATCTCGCAAGGGAGATAAACTTATGTTGGGGCTCAGCTATACAAGAAAGGTAGATACATTTTATTGATCTACCTTTAGGGTTACAAGGCGTTTTTGAAGGAACGTGCCCAAACCTCTTATAACGCCTCTCTCTATATCCACTTCTCTATGTGGCGATCGAACGAAAAACCAACAATGTTTTGTTTGGTTTTGAACCCAGGTCTTCGGATTACCAGACCAGCGCACAATCCTCTGCGCCACGATCGCCACGGATTGAGACTGAGATCAGATTGAAATTTGACCAATCGCAGTAAAGTTTACTAATCTCCAGTTTAGTAACGTTTACTCTAATTAAATTAATTAAAATACTCTAACTAAATAAATTAAAAAAAACAAAAAAAACAGGATGCAGTGTTTTAGACCAGTTGACCTAAAGCTCATAACAGACTACGGATTGAGATTGAGATTCTATCGAAATTTGACCAATTGGAGTAAAGTTTACTAATCTCCAGTTTAGTAACTTTTACTCTAATTGGTCAAATTTCAATCTGATCTCAATCTCAATCCGTAGTCTGATACGGGCTTTAAGCTAAATCCTCATTGTCTCTTGTAATCCAGTAGGAAAAATGGTATCGTGTGCCGTTTGGCTTTAGATACAGAATTGATCCTCTCGAGATTCGGCGAAGAAAAGTTGTATTCGAGCGAAATTCTTTCGGAAAAGTTCCATGTTACGTGCCCAGGTTCCATGTTACGTGCCAAGGTGTTTGCACCGGTCTTTGTATTTTGAACGTATATTTGTGTCACTTTACTATGGTATGTGCGTATATATGAATGTGTGTGTGTGTGTGTATGGGTGTGTGCGTGCGTGGGAGAGAAAGAGAGAGAGAGAGCATCTGTTATCGGTGTTGGAGATGTGACTCAAACGCTACACAGTCAGAAGTAAATACTGAGATTTCGGGCATTGTTCTTTGTAGCATTGACATCTGGATGCGTTTCGTACAATCTAAATGTTTGCAGGTCGTTTGCGGCACGTAATCATCAAATGTACGCGAACGGAGATTTCACGATTTTAACTAAAAACCAAAATCTTTTCGTCGATATTCTCGCAGAATCGCGTGAGCAGGAAGAATGCCAGTCGATCCAAAAATCGTCGCGATTGCGCAAACTTTTAAATAATTATTAGAGCCATTTTTTACTTTTATCGCGACTTCGATAAATCATCGGCTTTCTCTCCCACCTCCCCTCCCTCCTCTCTCCTGTTCTTTCTGTTCGATTATCCTATTGATTGGCATCCTGAAAAAGAACCTTTAAAATCTTTTGTATCAATTCGACTACCGTGTTATGCACCTGTCTCGCTGATACGAATTTTCTTCACCAATATTTACAATCGAGTGTACTTAAGTCAGCTCTGTTGATCATTGTTAAAATCAATATGCGTACAGATAACGAGGATTAAGATTAAAGTGACGGCTAAAATATATCGTCATCAAAATCTACCGCTGAACATTTTGAGCAATAATCGCGCGAGGGCATCTGCATGGCCTGAAAACGAGCATAAAATGTTGCATCGTGCATTCGCGGGATGTCCTTTACGAATGAGTAATTTTTAGTTGAGCGAAGCTCATTGTCGCCAGTGGTAATTAAACAAAGGGACATTTTTTTTAAAGTTGACCAGACTGGCAAAAAAAAGTGACTTAAATGAAGATCACTTTTTGCCAGTCTGTCGACTCTTAAAAACATTTTCCCTTTGAGTAATTTTTAGATCTCCTCCTCCTCC